CCCCCGCCCACCTCGCGCCCGATCTCGGCGACCCCTGTGGCCATTGAGCTGAGGAAGATGATGCCCACGTCCTGCGGCTGACCAACAGCAAACGGCAGGCTGCTACGCAGAGTGAAGCAAACCTGCGAGGTGGTAAGGAAACAGGGCGGGCCCCAGTGGTCGATTCGCCATAATCACAAAGCGGCAGGGCGACACGTGGGCAGCAGAACTCCCGCCGGTGCGTGCCCGCGGGACGCCTTCACAATGTGTCCAGCGGTCGCATGCCCCTCCTTTCTACGTCTCTCGTGCCACTGCATGGCGGCAGACTGCTTGCAGGGTTGGGAGGAGCCTGACCTGGTGCACTGTTGCCGCCAGGAATGAGAACCTGGCGAGCTCCCCAAGCTGAGGCTTGTAGACGGGGTCCTGGGGGGTCGGGTGCAGTCAGCAGCAGGGGTAGTGGTCACGCAGATATGGGGACAGAAGGGGGTGGGGACAGGATCCACCAAAGACGGGGCAGCCATTAGCAAGATCTCAGGCCCGAGCCAGAGCTGTGCTGCTGCAAAGCTTGGTTTATAACCACAATGTAACGTCAACAATTTTTGCCCTAATGTTCATTGTACAGAGTGGAACCTCCGGCACTGCACGCAAGTTCTCACTGAGAAGATGACGGCCGCAAACCCGATCATGCAGGGCAGTCCGACCACGGCGTTGATGATCCCATAGATCACTGCAGTCACGCGGGGGTCCTGCGGGGCACGACCAGACGCTGACACCGGCTTGCTGCCGCTGTCAACCCCTGCAGCTGCCCCATCCGGGCCGATGCCCAGGAGGACGGCAGCGTCTGCAGTCACGGGCTCCGCAGCCAAGCTGGCGTGCACTGTAGTGCTGGCGGCGGCTGGTTCAGAGGGGGGCGGCACATAGGTGCCTGGGCCGGCTGGCGCGGGAAACACGTTGGGGGCGTGGTGGCTCGGCAGCAGCGGGGCTGTCAGGCCGGACGCGCTGCGTTCCAGGGACGGGCGGCCTGCAAGGTCCATGATTACATGTGTGTGAGCAATAGGCTATTATTATTGAGACGGAAGGCCTGCTCTCGTGACAGTGGCTGCATCGCTGCTTTGCAGCCCAAGCAGCAGAGGTGACTCAGGTGCACATCCTCCACATGGCCCTGTACAACAACAACAACCCTTGTCACCTCCTGCCGCACCTTGCGCAGTGCTGCCTGCTGTTGTCCGGCGTTTATCATACGAGTTTAGCAGGAACGAGTGGCCGGCTGTGAAGCTTGACCCCAGGCTGCTGCCCATAGGAAAGGGGGACGCGCCGCTCGTGCTGCTGCGCACCGCATCACGCAGTTTGATGGGGATGGCCCCCGGACGGCTGCGCGAAAATGTAGGAGAATCATCATCTTCATCCATAGTAACCTGTGCGACTGACAGGCGGCGACGCCCTACCCCGTGCTGCGACCCCCGAGCCCCGTGATCTCAAGCACTCGGGTTACACATGGCAACTTGGGCCTCAGCTGATGTATTGAGCACAATATTCGGATGACATGTGCGCAACGATTGTTCACACAAAAGTGACACGGTCCCAGTTTGTTCGGTTTGACTGGTTTCACTGTGCTGGCCACATTTGCATTAGTAGGACGCAGAGTAACAAGATTGCAACAAGAGAACTGTACTTTGCTTGTTTGGGGCTGTGACACGGTCAGAGCTTGACTAGGGATAGGCACGCTAACACACCAGGCAAACTCCCACGGCAACGACGCGTCCAGTCGCCCCACCTGCAGTGGTCTAACCACTTCCGTTCCTGCTGCATTGGTGTGTCTGAGTCTCCTGTGTGTTTGATTGCACCACAGATAGCCGCTTATTGTGCATGGTTTCCACACTGTTGTGCTGCGGCGCGTCACCTCGCCCTGTGCACCACTGTGGGTGCTCTCAGTCAGCAGCCTGCCGTGGATGGCCCTCACATCCCTCTTACTCCGCTCCATGCGTCTCCGCGACCCAACCGATCATTTTACATCCTTTGCTGGCCCTCATGCGAGTCGCGCGCCGGCGCTGCAATGCATCACCCCGCTTCCTGCGCCTCACTAGCAGAACAGCTGCACGTGATGTATTACACATACAACCCACACAGGGACACATTGAGAGCCAAGCCAGCAGATGACAGAGCACTGGTGCAGTTGGTTGCACAGACGTGGCTGTATAATATCAAAGCAACTTGGAAGCACAAGCTGGCTTGTGATACGGTGCCAAGGCAAGAGACTCATGAATGGCTAACCTGCAGAAATGCGATGATGACAAACGAAGCCGAGAGGTGCATCGGATGCTTGTGCATTGCAGCAAAGGCGTGACGTGCAATCAGGTAGCACGTTGATGTAGCATCAGCAAGCCAACCGGATGCGTTTGCCACCGCGTGTGCAGTGCAGCTGACCCGGATCTATCTCCTGGCCTTCTGCCTCTCTACCAACCTGTACGTGTGCGTGCCAGTCGCACGAGCACTTGCTAGCACAGTGTCGGCGCCTTGGGCTTGCACGCCACGGTGCTATTCTTTCGAAGTGCTTGCCGCCACACCGCTGACTGCTGATAGTACTTTTGCGCTGTTTGCGAAAAAGGTTCCCCGGCCGCCAGCATCACACGATGGTGGTGCTGCTGCTGCACCTGAGGGGCTGGCCTTGCCGCAGTTACGGCCAGCAGTGCAATCAGCAGCACTGCGAGGGCATTGCAAAGGTTGGATAGCATGGTGAACGCCCCTGGTGCAAAAGGCTTGCATGGGAATCCTGCAGAGTCAGTGGGCAGTCGTGCACCTCACTCTGTCCTCATTGAAGCAGAGCCGCGCCCCTTGCCTGGCAATGCAGATGTGCATGCAATCTGCCTAAGTCTCAGTCTCGACGGTCTGCCGGCCAAATTGCGTCTTGAGGGTCTCACCGGCCAAGCCTGCCTTCGGGATCATCCTACAGATCGTTCGGATGGACCTTGCGCAAGAATTGGCAGGCTCGCACTACACTCCAATCATCCACGGGAAAAGTCATGAACCAATCATAGCAAAGCACATCCCTGGCCAAAATTTCCGCGGTGGTGGCTCCGGCACCTGCTCGCTAGCGCCGATGGGTGACGGAGGGACTGGGTGATCACCTGCAGGACAGGTCATGACCTGCAAGAGTCATCTGGCCACCACAGGACGACACCAAATAGATGTGTGCAATTGTCGGAGGCGCAATTTGTAGCATAGCGCTGCTTGTCACATCTGCCGTGTGCATTTTCTTCGGCGGATGCATGGCCACTCCGCCACGTGGTAATCAACTCATTGTCACTGCAAGTGACACCAAGCATGATGCTGAGGCGTTAATGGAGTTCCAATTTCTCACACCAGAGCCGTGCATAACAGGCTGTAGCACATCCGTGGAAATGGCTCACGACGCTGCTGTGCCGCACATACAAGTAACCTCGGCCCGTCTGCCTCGCCTGCCCGCTCACCATCACTCAGCCCAAAGGCGCCCCGCCCCGACCGCCTCCCGGTCGCCACTGGCAGGGGGGCCATTATCTTGCTGGTTCCGAGCCTTGTGGGCACGTCATGCAAGCGTTTTTATGGACTTGTAGAGCAAAGGCCAGGTGCAGGGGAGCTGCACGTCCCTGAAGAATGGATCCAATCAACCATTTTCGCCTGCCCGTCCTCACTTCTGTGATCCTGCTGGGCTTTCGAGCTGTTATGTTTTGCTAAAATAGTCAACTGGGTGGAACGGAAGCTGACGCATGAAAAAATGCGCCACTTTTGCGTGCTTCTGATGTTCTCAGAACTTCAGTAATATCATACATCAATGTGCAGGCACAGGCCCACTCACCTTCAACAGATAATTCCAAAACAATCAATTCCAATTCCAAAAAAATCGCTTTTTCTAACCGCTCCTGTTCGGATCCTGGCAGCATTTTTAGCGTTGCTTTCCAGCAAGGAATGCGACGCATGTGTTGCCATGTGTTCTGTTATCTGGTGGCACATTGTCGCATTCCAAACACTACTTACAAGTAGAAGTGCGCAGCCATCGCCAGGAAGGACTGTGCAGCGACTCACTGCCCCCCATGACCTCGAGCTGTGGGTACGGGCAGATTGCCGCAAACCAAGTGCATGTGTGAACCCTGAAGTAGAGGCTGATGCGACGGCTGAGTAACACTACCTCATAAGCCAAAGCCGTCGACGGTCAGTTTATACCTATATCACCGCTGAAACCTTTGTGTGGTACTACTACTAGTACTAGTAGTTTAGCCTGATATCTGTAGACTGTTTGCAACGAATCCAGCTGTATCAATCCTCCGCCGGACATCGCGTCAATTGGTGCCGGATGCCATAGCATTTACGTGCAGTGAGACTTGAGCTGTGACGGACGGCCTGTGCGAATCCTTTGTGTGGAGGTCCAGTTGCTGCTCGTGGACTGCTGTCTCGCGTGATGTCGTGCAGTGCTGTGCATGCTGCTTGTGCTTTTTGCTGCACACTTCTCAGCAGGACGTATCCCCACTATGTAGTTGTGATGCACACCACAGACGGGTTCTGGGATTGAACCTAGACCCACAGAGCGAAATGTGGCACTGGCGCCGAAGTCGCATGTTGTACTCCTGTTCTGCTAGGGTGCACTGCAAAAGGCCGCCAAGGGGCGCAGCGGGCTCCATATACATTATTCTGCCGTTTCAAATACTTTCCAACAAGCCAGTGGTGATTTGGCGGATATGCGGGCCGCTGCCCATCATGCCCCATTTGAACATCATTCGAACAGCAGCAGGTGCGAGGGCGGTGCTCACGGAGGGGCGACTTGAGTGTGCTTCAAGCTGTGAGTGACGTTGAATTACCGTCCATGTGTTGATCAGATTTCTCCTTCTGACCGCTCTGCCGCAGTCCCTGCTTCGGTCCGGCACTCATTGTTGCGCGAGCCGCGAATTTACAGCAGTCAGCACCGAGCGTAAGAGTCGCCAATTGACGCTGCAATGAAGCGTGCGTACAGTTTTGCCACATACCAGGGCTGCTGCGTGTCGGCCACAATGCTGCAGGTGGAGACGCCCGCGTCGCAGCTGGTGCAGCAATGTCCCTACAAACGCGCCTGCGGCTTCACATCCCTTGGCGCAATGGCCTGCCGTGATGTTGCGCGTCAGACAGCACTCATGGGTCTGCAGCTGCCGCTGGGCGCGGCAGCCGGCGGCGTAAGTGCGCGGATGTGGGCTGCGTTCGCAGAGCTGAACCATCTTTTGGCGGCCCACCCTCATGCAATCCGCGGCAACAGGTAAGCGGCAGGTCCCCAGAGGCCCCACATTTCACGGAGTTGCAGCCCGTGGCATTGGGATCATGGTTCCCATCCATTTGTGGCGTGATCATGCTGCACAGGTGCCCCCGCAACTTTCACAAAATTATGTGCCTTGCGAATCCACACACCCGCCAAACGCCGCCCCCCTTGCAGCATCAGCTTCCGCTCTGTGCCCCGCACCGGCCGCTACGAGCTCTGGACGCGCTATGCCCGCACTCAGGGCCTGAGCGCCGAGGCTGCGCGCGCGGCAGCGGCGGGCGCGGCGGCGCCGCTGCCCGCGTGGTTGGGACTGGCCCTGGCTGTCATTGGCTCATGCCTGAGCGGCTACCCTGACGCCAGGTGAGCGTGCCGTGCATGGGGCCGGCATGGCGCCCAGAGTTGCCTTTGGGAGCGGTGAGTCGCTTCAAGGCATGCATGGCATGTGACATGCAAGGTTGCCCGACCAGTGCTGCATCGCGAACCAGCCGCATGCTAGATCGCGGGCATGCTGCTCATGCACAGCCAAGTGTGCATGCCATTCAAAGCTGCACAGTTTTGGGGTTGTGATGTGACCTCAGCGTCGCGGCTGAAAGCCATGCTGTTCTCATACCATGAACACCCCTTGGCAGCGAGCCTCAAAGACCTCGTGACCTTCTGACATTGGGCCCCTTTGTCCCGCTACCCCCAACCCCACCCCATACGAACACGCACACTGCAGCGCCACAGAGTACGAGGTGCACATGCCCGGCTATATGCTGGCCTGGGCGGCACGCTGGGGTGTCGGCGACTCCAGCGGGGCTACCATCAAGCTGCTACAGATCGAGGTGGGGCGCATCCCCTTCAACAAGGGGGACCAACTAGCTTTCGGGCGGCTGCTGCATGCAGGGCTGTGCTTCCAAAGCGTACGACGTGCGCTGTGGTCATCATGTGCATGCTGCATGTCGGGTTTGCGCGGGCTGCAAGCCAGGGCACGCCAATCGACATGCTCCTGCAGGCAGGGTTCAACTGCACCGCCAGGGCTCACAGCGTCCTCTGCCCCCAACCATCTCACCCGTGCAGGCGTTTTCTGGCAGCAGCGGGGGCATGAGCGGCAGCCAGCGGCCAGCTCAGTCGCTGTATCTGCCCGTGGGGATGTGACGTACGCGCCTCCGCCCATGCTGGCGTCGCACACGTCCCTGGGCAGGACATGGCCTGGTACCATCGACATTACCACACATATATTGTCAGCCTGGCGTCACGCGCTCGCCGGCACGCAAGCAAACGCTGGGTGTTGGCGGTCCCCGCACAAACACATCCAGCTGAGCTGGCATCCGCGCATTGCGTCATAGTCATGTTTCATCCCAGCCTGGGAATCCAGACAACGCACTCACTATGATAGATTTCTGGATCGTGGGGCGGGCAGGAGTGTGCTTTGGGGTTTTGCCGCAAAAAGTGTTGTACAAGTGTGCTTTGCAGGCTGCTGCGCCGCTTCGCTGGTAGCTGGGAGATCTTCTTCACCTTGTGGTCGTTTATGAAATTTTCCGCAACACTTTTGGTGTTTGTGTCATGTTCCAAGCGTTCGCGCGCCTGGAATCCCCCGGAAGTGTGCTGCTTGTCAACCAAAACAGGAAAACGAGCCAAAACATGTTCAGCGCTTTGTGCCTTGGTCAGCGCAGGCCGACGACAGCTGCGAATAATTCTTGTTCTTGTACCCCGGCAGTCTCAGTGTTTTGTGACACATGCTGGCATCTTGCAGTGGTGCACCTTTGCCTGCAGTTTGTCTGGAAATGACAGGGTAACCCCTTTTGTTTGCAACCATCGTTTCAACAACAAAATCATGTGCCCTCTGCACTGATGAGCAGACCGCCTGCTTTTCAGGTAGCCACTTATCTATGTCCTTGATATGATGCGGTATTACAAGTGTTAATGTTATAATACCATCCTGCCACCCCTCAGAGCCATGCCAAGTTCTGCTGGCTTGGCTTGCTTTCTGCTCTGCTTGGGGTTGCCTGGGGGGACACCATTAACTGCACGGATTGGCATGCGCGCCCTGCCACAGAGAAAGAGTCTTCTGCAAGATTTCTGGTATCTTGAATGCTGCGGGCCGTGCAGTGGGACTGCCTCGGCGCACAAACACAGGCAGTCGGTCAGGATTACGAAGGCGGCGACAACGTTGACCGGCTCATGGGACCTTGGGCAGGCACCCTCAGCAATCACTCGCGTCGTTCCTGCTTTTCACGCTTTCTTGAACGCGGCTGTTCTGCCCTCTCTGCTGTGGCTCAAAAGCGCGCGTTCGAGTTGACTCCTGCGAACCTAAACGGACCGCAGTCGCTCTGCTCCTCATCGATCACCCCTTGTTAACTGTCAGGTATGTCAGCGGTATGGCAATTATCCTCCGCAGGAACCATTGGCCCCTGATCTAGGCCATTCCGAAGAATTTGTGCATGACAGGCCCGCCTGTTACCATGGACGTGGTTTAAAGTGAACTGTTCCACATAAACGCGCACTGCTCAGAACATACACGCGCCTTCGAGAAGCGGGCCGTCATCGCACCACCTAGCCAAGAGCGCTTGCTCGCCAGTGGGCAAGTTTGCAGTGTGTCGAACAGGCGTCTATCGAGGCTCCCTATGCCTTGCCCACTCCGGTACCATCACAAATGCCCCACCGTGCCCATCATGCATACGCTCCAGACAGCCCGCCGCCATGGCGGACGGGACCCAACGCGCCTCGATCGATGGGGGCGTGGGCGGCGACGTGACGTCTTTCGCGGCGTGCGGCGTGCCGCCTGCCGGGGCGCTCGGCATGTTCAGCGCGAACGACAGCGAGCTGCTGTGCAGCGCGTCGGCCGCAGATGTGGAGGACGCAATCCGCGCAGCGCAGGAGGAGCTGGCGCTGGAGGGCCGCCGGCACCACCAGGACGCCAGGAGCGAGGCGAAGCGCGCTGAGCTGGCAGACAGGTGAGCGGGCGTGGCGAGCTAGGCAGCTGCTGCCAGGCTAGCGGGGCATGCGCTCGCATGCATTGGCTGTGCGCATGCAGGTTGCTTGCATGCAAGCACGAAGACAGAAGACGAACGCTCATGCAACATGCGGCAAGGCAAGGTGCGTGGCCTGAAGCTCATGCCGCGTGCACCGCTCAACCC